AATGATTTTGATTTTTAAAAAAGATTAGTTCGTGAGGAGAGTGGGTTGTCAGGGACAGGAGAAAAACAGGGACGTTTGTGGTGAGAGCAGCATTGAGGGCTGCAGGTTGGTTGCTGGATGGTGTGAAGGAAGAAGGGGAATTTGCATGGAGCATTGAAGGTAGAGAATGGCTTTTAACAAATGTCAAGGAGTAGAAGCAGAATACCACTTCAAAGAGTGGCACCTAGAAAGTGCAGGAGCAGAGAATGTGTAAGGCACATTTAGGGATTGGTAGAGTTTCTGGAATCCTTGAGGGCCTCCTCAGAGTTCTAGATGCAGGAGCCTCAGCATGGCTTTGTATTGCTCGGCCTTCTCATCTGCCTGTGGCTTCCCCTTCTCAGCGACATCCAGCTTGGGCTTGATGGGGTCAGATTCATTTAAACAATGCGTCTGGCAGCAGTGAGGATGGATGGGAGAGGAGCAAGCGTGGAGGTGGGTGGGGGAGCTGAGTGGAAGGGGAAGGTGGGTGGGAAGAGGCTGCTGTATAATCCAGGAGAGAAAGGATGAGAATCTGAAAAAGGTAATGGCAGTGGGGAGGAGGAGTACAGAACAGATAAAAAGTTTCATGTGTTATTTTTGAAAAATACTGTTTTCCATATTTTTTGCAGTATTCTTTATATAAAAGGACCAGTATTTGAATATTATTTTTATTCCATTCAAATCTAGTCATTCAGATACTTTTAACTCAAAGAGACATCTTAGAAGTGGCTTGTTTTTATACATATATAGGTGGTTTTGCAGAAATAACTTCTCTGACATAACCATTTGGGTTCTTGGGTCTCATGGCAATAGCTTGGGGCAACATGAATTTGAAGCATAGCTTCTACCATTCTGTTCAACAAAGGTGTTCTAGAGTTTACTGTGTGTCAGACACTGTATTAGACATGGTAAACCTTACATGTTGAAATCTGACAAAATGCATTTATCACTTTTTCCTCTTTGGCCTTGGTCTCCTTAAACTCTCCCCCGTGTTGTTCCTTCAGCTTAAACTGCATCGTCTCAAGCCTGTATTATGACAGTGTTCTCATGTCTGTCCTCTGCCTCTAATCCTGACCACTCCCAAGATATCATTTGTAGTTCAACAGAGCCGTCCTTCTAAATAGAAATCTGATCACATCACTCCCCTGCCTAAAACCCTTCCGTGACTTCCCATTGCTCCTGTGATAAGAACTTCCAAAGCCTTTAGCAAAATAGAAAAGTTCTTAACTTCTCTAGACTAATTTTCTACCTCCCCCATCTCCTGTGCACCAAATCTATTTCATTTTCTCAGAATGGCAACTCTCTTTGCATAGTTTTTCATCTACTTTTTAATCTCCGAGCTGGTTATGGCTCATATTTTAGAACTCAACCTAAATACCACGTCCCATGCAGACCATCCCTGACTGTGCTGAGTTGGGTACCCCTCCTGGATGCTTTCTTAACACCGTGAACTCACCTTACAGGAGGTTTGTAAAACCTTTAACCCTGCGGTTTTACAAACACCTGTTGTCTTGACCAGCGCTACCATTACAGTAAACCACTGGAGGGCAAGGGCTGTGTATTATCTTTGGTTTTACTTCTGTGGTCTAGCAGAGTGCCACTGAATGAACGAGTTAGCATTTATTCATTTATCCATCAAACATTTATCTAAACTATCCACTCTGTGGCAGGCACTGTGCCAGGTGCTAGTTTGTTGGTGAACAAAAACATACATGGTTCCTGTCCTCATGGAGCTATGAGAGAGAGAGGCACAATTCACATAATTGTGCAGAATGTGACACGGCAAATATGGCTGGTGTCATGAAGGAGGAGGAGATGGTATATTGAGAGGGTTTGCCCTAGTCCGTGAGGTACAGGGAGTTCCCCAATGTGATGGCACTTACATTGGGACCTAAATTATTAGCAAGAATTAGCTAAATGAGGCTGGATGGGAAGACCATTTCAGGCACCCAAAGGGGAATCACTGTGTGCCTCACAAAAGGAGGTACTTGGTGAGAACAAGTGATGGAAACAATCCTTTGTGGCCGCAGTGAAAGAGGGAGAGTTGAGGATAGAGAGGAGGTAGGGGCAGACCAGGTAGGGCCTTCAGGTCACATTGGTGATTTTCCCTTCCCCTTAAAGAAGTCCAGTATAGCTGAGGAGAAGGCTTTTTGAAAGGAACAATGTTGAGGGGAACAGAGAGTACTTATGTATCTATAACTATTTTTTTCCAGAACTGGTTTTTTTTTGATGGTTGTATATAGTTACCTTTAGAGTCTATCATCTAAAATCTTTATTTCACCGTTTCATACGGCCTCTTTTTGCTAATCTTCAGCATATCTAACTCAAATTTGTTTTAGCTGAAATAGATCCAGAAAGCATCGAGATGACTCAGGGTAAAATGGGTGACTTTTTTTTACATCACCTATTATTTTGACCCATTCATGTGGCCGGTGTGCACATCCTTAGGTTACTACGGGTTTTTTGGTAACAAGATTTGGGGATTATGCTCATTCATTACCCTGCTGGTACTTCTAATATGAACTTTAGTGATTTAGTCTAAAGAGGGCTTGAAAATTCTGTGATGTCTCTAGCTGTTTTTCTCCTTTTTTCCCTTCTCCACAATGTTTCTCATGTCTACTAATTAACAAATAAAGTTTTACATTTTCTTCAGGGCTAAATAAGAGTTTATAATTACCAGTAAGGGGAGTATATGAATGCTATTTGTCCTTTTCTAAAAATAAACACTAATTGAGAATTGGCTGTGCATCATGCACTTTGCTAAGGTGTTCAGAATACAGAGAAAAAAAGGTACCGTCTGGGTCTTCATGTTACTGATAGTCTACTGTCAAAGACAGATGAATACATATGTAATTTCAGAATTGGTGTGATGAATGTTGTGATAGAGGAAGGCATAAAATGAAAAACGGGGAAACATAAAGGAGGCGATCTAACCTAACTTGACTTACCTATCTCACCTAGGTTGAGGCAGGAAACCCTGCCAGAAAAGGTGAAGGCTAATTTAAGTCTTAAGGATAAATAGGACTGAGCCAGAGAAAGAACAAAAGAAAAATAGAGGTTATTCTGGTTAGAAGAGGCTATGTGGGCAAAGACACAAAAGGTGTTAGTGAAAGAAACACATACGAGGCATTGCATGTGGTTGAAAGTGGTGGTGGCATAGGGATCCAGGTAAAAGATGAGGCTGCAGATGTGAACAGAAGCCAGATCACGAATGCCCCAAAGTGGGGTCACAGACATACAAACAGGCAGGAGGGAGAAAATTCTGTAGGCTACACCTTAAGGTAGAGCCAGAACCCAACCACTTCTTACCATCTTCACTGCCACCACTCTGGTTGTAATCATCACAATTTATTCCATTGGTTATGTAGTCTTACTATCCTTTCCCTATTGAATCTGTTCCTCACACAGCAGCCAGAGTGTTTAGAACGTGAGCAAACCATGACTCTCCTCCATTTCAAACCGTCCAGTGGTTCCCATTATACTCATTATACAAACCTAGGTACTGACAGTTCTCCTTAGTGCTTATTACTATGTGAGAAGCTGTATATTTTATTTATTTATGTTATTCATTGTTGTCTCCCTCAGTAGAATGGAAACTCCATGAGGGTAGGATTTTTTTTGGTCTGTTTTATTCACAGATGTGTCACCAGCATGGTCCTAAGTTGGCAGTCAATATTCAATGAAAGAAAGAAAGAATGAAATCTCAGATGTATCATGGTATTCACCCCATAGTCATTATTGAACAAGTTTATTTCAGCTCATCCCACCTCTGCCCTCTTTTTGTCTGCCGTACACCACTCTCAATTCAAACTATTATGTCTTCCTGAAAAGAACTGGCTTTATGAATGTATATTAGCCTATATCTATTCATAATCCCAAGTTGATTTTTGTTCTTAGCCAAGCCTGGACTAAGTGAATACATGCTTTTCTTTCTTGTACCAACTCCCCTTGCCTGTGATGAGTTCTTAGAACATGATTAGATCCATGTGTGTGAACCAGGGGTAAAATCTTGGCATTTCAATGAGAGGAGAGCAGTGTTGTGACGAACTGTAACAAGAGCTGAATGATAACAGTCACCAGGTTCCTAGTGTAAATCACATCCTCGTTGTTTAAAACCAACCTCTTTATTCCTTGGATTGGTCATACTCTGGCTCTTGGTACTGCTGCTTCCATGCTGTGAAAATGGACTGCTCTATTTTCTCAGGCTCCATAGGGGTATCAAGTATTTGATTTCTTCATAAATAGAGCAGAGAAATATAACCATAGAATAACATTGCGGACACATTTAACAATATTTATTTAACGAGTAAAAGAGCTAGACCTTTTGTTACATTGTCTACTCTTCCAGTCAGCAAATGTTATTGTGACCATTGGACAACGTTTGAAATCGGCCTATTCTGATTAAGGGAGTGTTTATTACCTTAATGATGATGTGTAAGATTGTTAAACATTTACTTTCGTATGTTATGAAAGCTGAGAAATGGCCCACAGGCCTTCTCAACCTTGCTTTTGGATCCTTACGTAAAGTGAGTACTGTCTAGACGAACAGCATACTACTCAGCACTGTCCAGCAGAGAAGGCAGGGTGACTGCTTTCAAGGTGCTTATTATGATTATCTTAACAACAGCAACAACAACCAGTACCAGTACTGCCGCTGTCACTGTTTACTAAGCACCTGTGACATTAACAACTACTATGGTTTAAATTGCTGTAAAATTCTTTGCCTGTGTTACATCATTGAAAGATCTCAGTTCCTCTATGGAGTGGGCATATCTCTCCATTGTTCTGATTAGAAAATTGTATGTAGAGAGATAAAAAATAAACAAATAGTAAGCGTAGCTTTGACTTAAGTCTTAAACAATGATTCAGTGTTACAGTAGAGGTCTCTACCAAAGCAGCTGTAAGAGGCAGCTGTATGTTTAATTGCTAGGGGGAATAATATGAAGCATATTAAATCTCCTCCTTCAAGGAGTTTAAGTTACCAAGCAAAGTGAGTCAGTTTCCTTTGGCAATATTAATTCCCCCCTGGAAATGACTAGATAGCAAATATGAGTCTTTTCTCCACATGGTTTTATTATCTCTTTCTACAGAAAGGAGCGGGTTATCACTTGGATCTCTTTTGGGTGGCCATCCTCATGGTGATATGCTCCTTCATGGCTCTCCCGTGGTATGTAGCTGCTACAGTCATCTCCATTGCTCACATCGACAGTTTGAAGATGGAGACAGAGACTTCTGCACCTGGAGAACAACCAAAGTTTCTAGGAGTGAGGTGTGTTAACTCAGAAGAAAATGGCTCTTCAAAACATATTGTGCACACATCTATGTGGCAATCATAAGGAAATGGTCAGATTTAGAGGAGATAGCACTTGTGATGATGAATTCATACTTACATTTTTTGTTCCAGAAAGGACTAAATTTTCATCAGAGTTTTCAGTGATCTTTTTCAGTTTACTCCTTATGATATATCATTTTCATTGATTTCCAAAAGGCTAAATGTTGCAATGTAAAAACACAACCAGACATTTTTTTCTTCAACATGCAGGTGATTTTGGTGCTGCAGTGTTGACTCTATCACAAATCACATGTGAAGGCCCTAAAACTCTTGAGTCTGCTTATGACTTTTAAGATTCTGTAAAGGGAAAGGTATTCTTATTTTCCAATTATTTTTGTCCCCATAAACACTGAGAAACTTTAACCTCCAGCTGTTCAATTTGGGTAGATGTGAAGGGCAGAAGTAGAAGGTTTTTATACTCTGTTGAGTACTTTTTACAGCAAACTCTGCTCATAAGTGCTTGGGTAGAGAGCTCACATGACAGAGCCATTGTATCCCTGCCAAGACAGTGGGTGATTCTTTTTTTGGGGGTGGGGGAGGGGTGTAGGATGGGAATTATATTTGTTGAAAAGTACTTTTATTGTTGCAGATTTGGAAATTAGACTGATGTGATTTATTGTGCTAATGAAATTTCCTTGAGCTGTTTGTTAATTAGAATATGGGACAATGTAATATCTGTCTCCTATGAAAGAAGGTGTAAGGGTAATTACACAAGAGGATAATTTGCTTTAAAAAATCAGGTCTTCAAAGAGCCTATAATTGATAGACCAAGAGCAAGTGATTTTTCTTTGATTCTAAAAGGAGCAAAAGATTTAGCAGGAGTACTTCTTTCTTCATGAATTCAAATCACATATTGAAATCACTTTAAGAGATTTTTTTGTAGTTACATTGAGTTTATATACTATCCTTGAGGTATTAATTACATAATATCAGCACCTTTGTTGTTTTACCCAAACATTGATTTTGTCAATGTGTAGTTTTTTTGTTTTGTTTTGTTTTTTGTTTTTTGTTTTTGAAGGTGAAAAGACAAGAGCATGTTTATGAAGACAAGAGGTAGATTGGTAATCTTCTGATTTGGTTTCAGGGAACAAAGAGTCACTGGAACCCTTGTGTTTATTCTGACTGGTCTGTCAGTCTTTATGGCTCCCATCTTGAAGGTAAATATGTGAAACATTCACCTCTTCCTTCTCAGATCACTGACATATAATTGGACATGTGAAGAGTGGAATTCTTTGTCAGATATTTGCAAGATTCTCATCAGTTCTATAACACACTGAAGCAGGGGTCAAGTAGAGAGAGGGCCTTAAATAACTTGTCTTGATTTCCTTCTCACTCTTTTATCCCTTCCCTTATCCTTAGTTTTGCAGTTATTTGATTGAACCATATTAAGTTAACAATATCCAAACTTTCTGATCTGTGAAAACAGCAGTTTCATGCAATTTAATCAGACTGGTCTCCCCTCTTCCACATACATATTTCTATTCTCCTTGTCTCCTATACATTCTTTCTTCTATCACCTTCCATTGCTTGTATCCAAATCTCATTCCTCTTCCCCCATTAGACTCCTAGGTAATATGAGTGATGCAGGATATCTATTTTGAAATTTTTCTGCTATTCTTAATTATTGCTTTGTTTCTATTTTCTTTGACTCAGATTGCCCCGTAATTCACAAAGGTAAATTAGAGTAAAATTACTGACCTATAATTAGAAAGCTTTAGAAATGAACGTTTGAGGAAGAAAAATTATATGATGTAGGTTGTTTAGAAAATTAGGAGTCAATATATGGGTTTCATTGATGGGTGGATATCTGCCTAGAGAGATACATGGAAACTACATGTGAAACCTATTAAGAAGTAGGAAGAAAACTAAAGAAAGCTAGTGTATACCTCTTCATGAAGCTTTCAATTTTCTTTTACAAACATTTTATTCTTTTTTTCAATCCTATAAACATGCTTGCAAATTATTGATAATTTGTATGTTATGCTTTGTACGACAGTACAAAGCATGAAAGTTACCCATGGACTTAATAGCTATAAACAACCACTGTTAATGATATCCTTCCAAATATTCTGTTAAAATTTTTATTTTTAAACGATTTTAATTTTAAAGGCTTTTAAAATGTTCATTTAATTACATAAGTAATCTTCTGAAGAATTCAAACAATGTAGAAGTGGAAATAGTGAAAAGCAAAAACCCTCTGTATCTCTAAAATTAGCAAATTTTATGTCAGTTGCCAATGATGAAGTTGAGGAGAGTAGAACTGTTGTATCTTTGACCTATAAATAAGACTAAGACTGCCTTCAGAGTATTTAGACTGATGTATACATTATGCAGAAAACATTTGTTAAACAGTTAAAACATGTAATTATTCATCTTTTTCCCTTGGTTTCTGCAATGTCAATTAACTAGTTTAATTAATTTCTGACTGGATTCATGAGGAAATATCTCATCTTACACGTGAGACATTAAGATTAAAAATAACCTCAGAGAAGTTGCTTCTGATTATGTACAGAGGGCCTTAAAAGAGTTTGGAGCTTATGTTCTGCAGGGACAGAGGGAAACCTATTGTTACCTTTGCCAGTGCAAAGCAAGTTATGGGATAGGTGTGAAGGGGTGGTGACTTTCGCAGCATCAAAACTGCTGCCAAATACTTCATGTTCCTCCATTATCCTATAGGTACCAGCACATCAGCTGGTGGAAAGCCTAATGACAGCGTTACCTTTTAGGCAATGGAACCTCATTTACTGAGATCATTTTTAGAGAGTTCATAGCAGACAATTATGAGCCCATGTTGTGAGAGGCTCTTCTAGAAATGAATTTTCCCTGAGGGTTCCTTGAAGGTGGGCTCACTTCGAGCAGCTGCAGAGTTTCTTTTATGAGCTCTGTGCTCAGTCACTAGTGAGGGATAAATGGGCAGAAATCTTTTCATCAGTTTTAACTTACTCATCACCTCCCCCATTTTTCTTTTATGTTTATATAATTTCTTTTCATTAATACAGTATAAAATCCTAATTCAAAAAAGACAGATGTGTTTAAAAGTTCCTTTTGTGTGTATATGTTATAGCAAATTGGCTTTATTCCTAGAGAATCTGACAGTTGAGTAATCATGGATGATTCCAAGGGGACATAGAGAACAGATACTGTATAATTACTATTTTTAGGAGAGATGCAAGACTTACATTTTCAACAACGCCTCTTCCTGTTTTCCCACCCTGCACCCAAATATGGCTGCAGAGGAGTTAAAGCTGAAAGTTCTTTTGTTCTTTACAGTGATTCTTTTCACCCTGATAGGCAAAGTACCTTAGTATTTACAGAAACAGATTAGAATGCAGGGAAAGAAGGCAGAGAGCTGTAAGAGATCAGTGAGCATGAGTTTTCTTTTCCTTTGACTTTCCTTAATTAATCCATACCTGGGCTCACCTTTATTCAGCTGCTAGTGTCCATGATTGTGGCTATTTCCACCTGGCAATTTTTGAGTTAACCCAAACAGCCATTGTAAGAATCAATGAAAAATGCAGTCCAGCAAACATTTTTGTTAAGCAAGGTTTTGCCCAAAATGTGGGAAATGAAATTGTTTCGTCAATATAGTTTATAGCATACTGTACAAAACCCATATTTGAAAACAACAAGAATATAATAGTCAAGCATTCGCAGTTGTGATTCCTTACTTCATTAAGTTGTGCTATTCCTAACTTCAGGAATCACATTTCCTGATAAAGGCAGCTACTTTCAGATCATGTACCATTGAAGTTTGGTAAGTTATGTGCATTTTTCACAAATCCTTTGTTATCTCTGAAAAGTCAATACAGGAAGAAGCAGATATTGAGGGTACAGTTTAACCAAAACCTAAGTTATGACTAAGTAAGAGTCAAGATTAACAATTAACCTTAGAATTCACATAGAAAGTGGTGTCAGGGGTCATGTTTTAGTAGGGAACCTTTTTTCCTCTCCTTTGTGACTCTGTTTTTTTAAAGAACCAGAGGACAACTTCAGAGAATCATTTTACTTAAGAGTCTGTCTTTGAAAGAGCAGATCAAATAAATGGGAAAAGAGAAATGTGTTACTTTTACTTTTTAAAATGAAATGGTTCAACACCATTTCTGCCAACTCCTTACATCCCTTACAAGTTTAATGGTCTTGGGTGATCCAAGTAATTTTCTTTCATGCATTAAGCAGTGTAGGTAATGTTTCCCCTGTATGTTTATGCAAGCTTACTTTAAATATGAAGTTTTTAGCTTTTATTTTGATCTCTTTGCTGAGATCTGTCTTTTATGTAGAAGAATGTAAGGAATTACAGTTTTAAATTTGTGAGGATACCCCTTGACCCTAGCCAGCAACAGTCATACATGCCTCAAAGCACTGAATCTAACCACCGATTCAGTACTGAACAAGAATAACTGGCATCCCTAGCTGGCTAAACAGTTTAGTTCTGGGCTTCTGCAGCAGAAATATTGCCTGGTAAGTGAGTATTCCGTGTGGGGAAAATAGAGGACGCTAAAGGTCATCAAAAAGATGAACGTCACTTCCTTGAGCTTTACTTTCCCCATTTTTTCTAGCAAGTGTGAAGAAGTAAAAATCAAGTGAAGTTCACTGCTACTTTTGTTGCCTTTGCTTGAAATAGTTTAATTCAAGTTAATTAGGAGTAGTCAAATTTATCTTTAAGATTTTTTTTGTGTTCTAAAATCAGGACACCATTTAATTTGCATTTGAAAATATTTGAGCTTCTACACTATGCCACTTTATTCAGTGCTAGAGAAATAGAG